ATAATGCAACAACTGTCCTAGACCAGACCCAAGAGGGACAAGTAAGCTCAACAGCCACTGAGGGGCTTGGGGTGGGTTATTTTTTTGCACTGCTGAGCAAATGACTCTAATTAAGGCTTGCAATTTGTGCTTTAATTTGTGGTGAAGAGCTGGAAGGAGAGGACTCTGCTGGATCATTTAGCTCCTTTGGACCAAACATCTAGTGTTGAGGCACTGCCAGAGCATTTTGGGGATCCACAGTGGTATGGAGCTCACCTAGGCAACACTCCTTGCACATACACTTGAGAAAATACTGATGGTCAGATCCGGGATGGGAGAAGGAATGTATTGCCAGGTCTGGAAGCCAGCCTAGGAAAGATCATAGCTCCTGAGGACTGAACACAGGCACAAGGATGGTACTTGCATGTGGCTGCATCTCTGGATCCCTGGTAAGGAGCTTGGTGGCTGCAGAAACACCCTGGGCATACCTGTGAAGGATGAGAAAGGCAGAGCCCGGTACAGGTGCTGCTCGAGCTCCAGGTGTGTGTGGTCCAGCCTAAATGCTGTGATGCAGGGCCTAATCCTCAGCCCAGCTCCTGCCCCTTTCTCCCCTCCACCCACACAGAGTGTTACAATTCAGTCCAAGGTAGGTTGCACAATTTATTTTCCTGTGCTTAAAGCAGGATTTTGGCAGTCAGGGTTGGGAGGCCTCTCTGAGGAGCGCTGGCTGGGCGCCCTCCTGTTGTCACGGTATCATGCTGCTGTCAAAGGCTCTGCTTCTGCTGGGTGTCTGTCCTTCAGTATGGCCTTGTGCTACAGCCTAGTGCTGCTGAAGGACACACTGCATGGCCAAGGCACCAGTGACATCTTCAGCAAATGCAGGTGGAAGTGATGGTCACCCCAGTGTGGGTTCTCCTGTGCCAGACTGACATGAGGCCCATCATGCCCAATTACAGGTGGCATGATGTGTGTGGTGTGGCAACTCTAAGGAGGACTGATCCTCTTCTTTACCTGCCCATGCAGTGAGACACCATTCCATCCTTGAAGTATCTCTTTGGTAGTCCTAGACACTTCTTCCCTACAGCCAGCTGGTAAAGCCATGTGTATAAAGGGAGAGAAGGAGATGCAGGAGAATGACTGTGCTCATTGCTGAAGGAATATGCAAAGGGATTTGCTGTAATATTCACTGATGGGTGTGAGGGAGGGAAAGGATGCGAGTGCTAACTTATGCTCCGTCAGCTCAACCACAGTGATTTAATTGCTTTGCAAGGAGCAGTGGGTGGGGCTGAATGTGCCCAGGGAGGGAAAATGAGATGGCTGGGAGTGATGGAAGTGTCCTTGCCTGGTAAAAGACATGACCGTGATGTGGTCAAAACAGCTGGAGAAAAATACCAGCTCTGCACATGTGCTCGGCTGTGCCGGGCTTGGACTGGATCCGGGAGGGAGAGTTGGGAAATGTGAAGCCCATAGTTTGAAATAGCTGAGGCTGAAGGTTCCTGACACCTAGGTGGATTTTCCAGTAGAAAAGGCAAAGAAAACAGAAGCAGCAGATTATAGTGGCAAAGTTGTGAGTCTGGGGAATGGGAAAAAAATAATGAATTTACCCGTTGGAGCAAGGTGGAGAGGACTTGGAGGTGATGTCCCATTTTTGCTATAATACTCATGAGTTGCCAGTGGGACATCCAGGAAGGTTTATGAGGAGGAGAGGCTGGGTGGAGAGGTCAGCTTCTGAGCTCTCACAGGAGGGATAAGCTTACTTAGGAGAAGGTGTTGGGGAACTGAGGATGAGGACCTAGTGCTGGGCCTGTGCAGCTGGAGTGGGGCTGAGCCTGTGGCAGGATGCAGTGGTGGGGAGAGGGATAGTGTGATGTGGTCTGATGCATGTGGGATGCAGGGGACAGGCAGAGTAGGTGGAGGGCATTGGAAGAGGAGAACACAGAGATCTTGCTCTGTCTATGGTCACAGACAAGCTAGTGTCTCCGTACACCTTGTTTCAGCAGAAGAGTGAGGCATCTTTTTTTATTTTCATTGGAGACAATTCCTTACCTGAGGCTGAAGCTGGAGTGGGGAAAAGAAGTGCTGGAGGAGTAGGATCCACCAGGGGAAGAGAGAAGCTGTTGGAAGTAGGGGTTTTTGGGAGGCTCAGGCATCATTTTCTCCCATCCTACCATGCTCTTTCTGCAACAAGTTAAACTTAACAAAATATCAAGCCCTGCCACCACAGAGGCTGAAGGGAGAGAAGACATTGGTTTTACCATGAGCCTTTGAAAAGGTGAGCTTTGAGAGCACACAAATGGACGGCGACAGCTAAAGAAAGGAGACGAGGCAGGGTGTACAGCTGGACCCAGCAGCAACCCCTGCTGAAGCAAGAAACTTCAGAATATCAGGACCAGTGTGAAAAGGATGCAGCCAATGCTTCTGGCTTGGGGGAAGGACAAGGGACAAGCAAAATGCACTCTGTGGGCAGCTTGGAGCATACCTGGGTATCAGGCACTACATCTGCTCCAAATCCAGCGAACTGCATCACAGCAATGGAGGCAAAAGACAGCAGGTCCCTGACTTGGCTTCTACGGACAGTTCTTGCCCCTTCCTAGCTCAAATGCACCTTGAGCCCACTGGCAGGATGTTTCCAGCAGCACGCAAGGTAGCTGTGGCTCCTTGGCTGTGGGCAGGACAGGGGAGCACTGTTCTAAGCAGATGGATATTGATGCCCTCTCCACAGGAGGAAGTCACAGACTTACTGAGATCTAAAATAACTTGCCTCTTAAGCCAGTGGTGTGTCAAGTGGTTAAGGCAGAAGTAAGCTGTATTTCCACTGATGGGAAAGCAGGGATGCCGTCTGTGGTCCAAACACCAGCATCTCCTGAGAAGAGACTGGAGGAGGTACAAAGAGAGCTTTAGTGTTCTCTTTGCATTGTCAGGAGGGACCATGTGGGCACCTCTCTTCCCAGGTAAGGATTCTTGGGAGGACACCAGCAACCATGAGGTGTCTGCAGCACATTATGGTTTTACACAGCCCAGTGGAGCTGATTTCAGGACAGGAAAACCCCATGGCTTGTTCAGCACAAACTTATTATTTAATAGACAAAGTAAATATGAAAACACATTTCTAAACCCTGCTGTGGTGTTGAAACTTACACTTATGAGAAGAACCAGAGTGCTGCAGAGCCAAACTAACCCTGGGTGGCATTTGTAGGGCTTAGCTTTCATTGCAGCCTGAAAAAATCCCATGAGATTATCTCCATGCTGATTTGAATTATCTCGTTCAGCTTTGGCCCTCATCCTAGATGGACAAGGAGCAGAAGACTTGGCCAATGGCCTGAGGTCTGTGACCTCCTCTGCATGAGCTGGAAATGGAAGAACTGTCTCTAAGGTATTTGAGGATTTGCAACCTTGGAGGGCTGATGAGATAGAACCATGGGAGGCAAAGCTTAGATTCCCCCACCCCTGCCCCCTCTGCAGGGATTTAATGCTATACCCTTGGTCAACTGAGGCAGCTGAGAGAGGCAAACCTTGCTCTGGTGAGGAGATCTCTGATTTGCACTGAAATGGACCAACCCACGGTGCTCCACCTCAGGACCCACCTAGGGTGTCCCTCCCCACCATCTGGCAGATTTTGCTGGAGGTTTATTGGAATTGGTGCTGAGCAGGCAGTAGAGAGGCAGCTGGGGTTTGCCCTAATGCAAACCTCCCTCATCCTGCACTGCTTCAAGTCAGTTGTCAGCAGATGGTGTCTGGAGGCCTTCCAGTGACCACAGGCTCTCCCCCAGCCCATTGCTGCCATGGCACAGATGGGATTTCATATATGCCTGTGCATTCCTCCAACCTTTTCCCTCTCAGGGAAGAACAAGAAGACTGCAGGTTTTGCAGGGACTCCCTCCTTCAGCTGGGAGGATGGTGGTCACAACTCTGGGCTTTCCTGGACCATGCAGGGAGCTCCCTCCTACACAGGAGGGCTTGGCAATGCTGAGCCTCACCTGTTGGCTTGAGGTGTCATTTTGAGGTTTTTCTCTGCTTCCATTTTACTTCTTGACTTATAGACCAGTGGGTGAGGGGAGAGGAACTGGTTCACTTTCCATCTTCCCTCACAGTGCCCCTCTGCTTATTAGTTCTCCAAATATTTCGTATTGCAGCCCAACAGCAAGAACTCTGCACTAGCCCACTCCTAGGCAGAGGGAAGCCAGAGCAGGCAGGACAGTGCCTTGTCCTCATGCAGTGTCCCAGGGAGCAGGACAGGACAGCTGAGGCCCTGTTGCACTAGATCTCTGTGATTTCAGGGCACACATGGCAGCATTCCTCTGGCTGAGTTCTTCTCTCGTTGCTTCCTAAGGGTGACACAGCGATAGTGGCAGAGCACCAGCATTCCTCCACCCCCAACTGCTCTACTTAATACTTTTGCTTTTCTCAGCCTTCATCAGGATAGGGACTGTCCCCCAGTGTCTTCCTGAGTGAGGAGAACAGGCACATGGAGGAGAAAGAGGAGAACTGTTGTGGGATGCCTGCAAGGTGCGGGCAATTATGAGACAGAGGAGAAGAAATCAACTTGGGTTTTCTCCCATCAGGTCTCAGCTCCATTAAGTGTCAGTGGATTGCAGGTATCACTGCCCTTCATTGTCTCCAGTGGAACCAGGTACTGGAGAAGAGTTGGGGGAAAGGGAGCATGGTGGGACCATCGTGTCCTCCAATAGCCCTCGGCAGCCACTAAGGAGCTTCTATAAATCAGAGCAGTCCCTGGAGCTGCTCCTAAATCCATCCATTCTCAGGCGGCCTTCAAGCATCCCACAACAAGGAGGTGCAGGAGTGTCTCACATTGCCCTCATGAACTGATCACCCTGGATGGGCTCCACATGGAACTTAACTCTTGGAGGACAGTTCCACCCTGTCACCACCTGCCTGTCTCTTGCCATGCACCTGGCTGCACAGGCTGGCTGTGCTCTTTCCCTTCCTGAGGCTTAGCCAGACCAGTGGTGCTCCAGGATGCTCACCACGTGCCTTTAAACAAACAAAAATAACTACAACAGAAGATTTCAAATGCTGTACTACCCTTGCCTTAAACACTTCTGTCTGCAGCACTCCAAAAGCAGCAGGAGCCCATCCGATGGAGCTGGCATCAAGGTTCCCAGACAGCCAGAGCGTAAACATGTCTGCCGGCACAGGACACCAAGGGGCTCTGGCTTCAGCAATACATACAGCAAAGCAGACAAAACAAAATAAAAAAAGCCAACAGTGATCAGGTTTTTTAAACTTTAAATATTTTTTTCTTTAAAATCTGTTTTTCTCTGTGGTTCTGTCTCTGTAAAGAGCTGTGCTCTCCCAGCAGTATCATTGTCACTTCCTCAGTCCTGGCTGTGGGGCAAGGGAGAAGCAGGGTCAGTTAAAGAGGATACAGATGTGCGCGCTCCCCCGTGCATCACCGACATGTGTGGATCTCCACCACCCGATGGCAGGGTTTGCACTTAACGGAGCAGCACCAGTGGAATTTGCAGCTGCACCTTTCCACAACCTCCACTTCGTCCGTGTGAAAGCCACGGCCACAACACATCAGCTCGCAGCCGTCGATGGCCTTGGAGGTCTTGTTGCACTGCCGCCCACTGGTGCCCAGGACCCCATTCTTGAGGTCATGGTCACAGAAGTCAGGACTGGAGTCTAGGTAGACGAGATCCTCATCTGTGTGTGGCTTGAACTGGGAGTTTTTGGGCACCAGCACTTTGGTGGATCCAATCTCGCTCTGTTCGACCTCTGTGGCACCATCAAATTTCTCCTTCAGGACGTTGCCCACTTTGCGGAAGGGGGGCATGGCTTTCCAGCATGTCTTGAATTCGCATGAGCCTGACACACCATGACACTTACATTCCACGCGCATGTTGTTCAGGATTGCCTGGAGGAACAGACACAAGGAACAAGATGGGATGATCAGTGCAGGATGGACATAGCAGGGAGGGTGCAATGGATAGGGCCTGGGAGGGCTGTGCAGAAAACACTGCTGGGTGGGGATTAAAAAAAGCCCAAATGGCTCAAGCCATGGCTGCAAAGCCTGGCTGGGATGCTGCAGAGTGGTGCCAGCTGCCTAGGTTTTCTCCTTGCCATTACCTTCCTCCCTGCCTCGTTGTTGTGGAGGTTCATTAATGCTCTGTTGGAAGAGGCCCCTTTGCTTCTCTCACGGATGTCGACGAAGGACTGCGAGAAGGCCACACCATAGGCGATGTTATCGGAGCAGCCCGACCACTGGAAGCCTGAGGCAGAGAGCACAGATGAGACAGGTACTGCCACCCTGTAGTGCTTGAACTCTCCAGCTCTGCTTTCCCTAAAATCCAGCTGGCCTGCCCTCTCTCTGTCTTGCTACCTACTAGTCTGCGCCACATGGGAACATGGGAAGCAAGGGAGTGTGGCCCTGGGGAAGACATGGACAAGATGTTTTCAGTCCAGTGGGTGATGCACCCAGGTGTCTTTTTGAGGCAGTCACGTGGACCAACCAGCATTTTGTTTTTTTTAAACTTTTCCCTCTTTTCTGGATGGTTCCAGAGAGTGGGTTTGAATTGCAGATATTTTGGCTACTTTGCGTCCCCATGCAGCTACAGCTGCTTCCTGTTCAGACACTCACCCTGTGGGCTGCCCCCTTGCACTGTGCGGTCACATCCACACTTGTCCAGCTCGCCACTGCTGCAGGCGCGGGTCACAGCAAAGGCCACCCCTGCTGAAGAGATGGCATAGACGAACGCTGCCTCTCGTGTCCCTGCAATGACACAAACCATGGTGGGAAAGGTGGCAGGAAGTCTGAGGCAACACGAGTGGGAATTCTGGAGGTAATGCAGCCTGGTGGCCAAAGGCTCTTGGTATACTGCCACGTGTCTCTTCTCTTCTCCCCTCTTAACTCTAGTGTGGCACATAAACTCCCCTGAAAAGCTGGTCTGAAAGACAGCTCTTGGCAAAACATGCTATACACAGCTATCAGGCTAAACCCTTTGCTCTGTCACTTCCTCCTAAGATAGAGGCAGCACATGCAGGACCCTCATTGTCCCCACCCCCAGGGATGCTGTTTGCTTAGTGCCAAGCCTGGACCTGACTCATCAGAGACCTCTGGGTGCTGGGAAATATTTTGCAGAAGTGAGGGCCCATTTTCGCAAAAGTGAAGAAGCTGGGAACTGCCCCACAACATTAAAAACACGAATGATGGGTGAATGATAAAACCTGGCAATAGGAGAGACAGAGGCTGTACTGCCAATGTGGACAGAGCTCTCTAGAGCTTATATGGAAGACTGTCTTGCCTTGTGCTTGCAAGGCAGCTCTCATGAAATCTTTCCTGCATCCAAAATAGCTGTCTACTTTCCACATCCAGGAACATTCCCTGCAGCTGCACATCCTTGCCATCGTCTTTCACTGGGTCGTGTAGTTCACAATGCCTCCCAAACTACCCTGAAAAACCCTCTTCTGCTGCCAAAGCACCTCACACAACCCCACTAGTGTCCAGGGTACAGTGCAGTTCCAGCTTTTGTGTCTACCTATGTGGTGCCACATGGTTGAGCAAAACTTGTTTTGGAAGTTGGGTACATCCCTGGGCATGAACACAAAGAGTGGCAGGAGCAGGGATCAGCTTTAGCAACATACAAGCCCCACTATCCTACGAGGCTGGTTGAGGGCACAAACCCTCCATTTCTGAGCAAGGAGGGATGGTATTTGGGGTGGTCCCATGTTTGGTACAGAGGGGCAATGGCTTGTGAGCAGGCATCACTCAGCTTGCCAGTCAGAGAGAGGGCAGCTACTTTGGTGGTCGCATCCCAGACCTCGGTGGCCCAGCTGGCAGTGCCTGGGGAGGACCCAGCCAGTGTGGGACTGAACTGCCTCCAAGTTAATCAAGGTTAATAGTAGGATCATGTTGGTCGGTTTGTGCTGTGGCTGCCTAAAAAGAAACGACTTTTAGTTTCTGGTATTTCTGGTATTTCCATTCCCTGAACCTTCACAAGAAGAGATCTTCATCCCTGCATTGAGGGGAGGAAAGTCAAATAAGGAGCCAGGGGGATGCTTTGGTGTAGGGGTCCTGGGATGGGAGGTGAGATAGTACCTCAGAGATAGCACCTGAGGGGAGGCAAGGGATCTTCAGTGATCTTAAGGGGTTGCAGAGGGGTTTTCCGCTCTGTATCCTCACTCCAGTTCTCTGGTTTGATTACAGTCCTGTGCTTCTGGGAAGTCAGGGTGCAGCTGGGATCAGAGGGGCTGGGGGCTGCCCTAGCCATATCCAGCCCTGAGGGCTGGTGGCGGGGGATGATACTGCCACATGTTCTTCCCATGCCAGGCAGCACTGAGCCATTCTCCTGATGGTGCCCCCATTGATGCTCTGCTCAAGAGTGGCCATGTGCCAGCCTGGCAGCAGCCACTGCTTCAGCACTGCCCAGAAAGAGACTGAGTAAATGCACTCATGGCTTTATGGAATGGAGCTCCTGGGTTTGGTGGGGAAGAGATGAGACCAGGGTGACTTTAGGACCTTTGTTCAAACTTGGCATGTCCTTGTCAGTGGGTGTGGAAAAGGTTCAGGAGAGCGGAGGATCAGCAGGAGTCTGAATATGCTGTACCAAACATACTGAATAGACCCCCACTGAAGTGCACAGGGACCCATCCACCCCATGACCCAACACTGGATGGGCCATTCCTGACCTTCCCCAGCCACCGGTTCAGGGACAAGTAGGCAAAATCCCACCTGCAGCCCATCAGACTGCTTTTATAGCCATTCCCCCAGCAGCACCACCCCAGACACATCCTTCCAGCTCACCTTGCGTCACCACCTTGCCAAAGACAGGCAGGGTGTCCAGTGTGGAGCAGTTCCAGCGGCGGTTGCGGAATTGGTACTGGCACTCCTCAATGGCCAGCTGGGCTCCGCGTCGCACCGAGTCCATCACCTCCAGGTTTCTCTTGCACATCTGCACCTGGCGCTGGATCAAGCCCTTCAGCTTCTCGCAGGTCTCCTCCTCGGAGATGCTCCCCACTGAAGACAGCTTTGCCAGGTACCTGCCACGACACCAGCACAACAGGTTAAGAGGCAAAGGGCTGGGGAAGCCCATATTCAGCTGGGACCCATGTTCAGCCTTCCAGAAAGCAAGGAGACTGAACCTCTTACCCCCTCCATAGCTGAGACCTGCTGCCCATCTGGGGTCACCTTTAAATGTACCACAACAGTGGCTCTGCAGGATGCATTTCTGGCTGACAGAGAACAAGCCCAAGCAAAACAACCATCCCTCTGCAGCCTAGTTACTTTCTCTTGGGGAGTCCAGCTGTTGGCTCCCCTTTGCCTCTGTTGCCTGCAAGGAAGATATTTTCAGCACTGTCTGAATGTGCCTGGTCAGGTCTCCTGAGTATCGGCAAATCCAAGTGCTACTAGGAAAAGCCAGAGGTCTCCGAAGTCAGCCAAAAAAAGCAGGACAGGCACTTGGCTGCCAGCTCCATCTGCCACAGTGCTCCCACAGCGTGGCTGTGTGCTCATAACTGGCAAACATTGCCCCCCAAACCACTTCCCTCCTGGAGGCTGCTTTTAGCTGCCCCAGACCCCGCAGGCAGGGATGGCCTCTGGGAGCTGCCAGGTTTCCTGTCACTTGGGATTCAAGCAGAGTTTGAAGCAGGGAAGCAGAATCAGGAGCTTGCCAGGGTAAAATTGCAGAGGCTGGGCACTTCCTCCACCAGTCCAGCTTGTGAATAGGGCCATGAGGTCTTTGCTGATCTGGAAAAGACTGGCCCTGTGTGGAGGGGACCATGTGTTCTGCTTTCCATAGTACCAACCTCAGCAATAAAAGTCACAGAGCTGCTCTTGGGTGTCAGTATTAGAGGAATGAGGGAGCAAACACCTTGAAGAGCAAGCACCTCAAAAGCTCTCAGCATTTCTTTGTCCAGTCTGTGGGCATGATGATCCCTGCTGCACATCCCAGTAACTCAACCTCCCACCCCTTATTGTGTTGTGGGCATCGTGTCCATGCTTGCCCATTTCCCAGTTCCATCCTCCTGCCCCAACCTCTGGAACACAGAAGGAGCTTAAGATAGACCCAGTCAGATTTTCCAATGAGGCTGTGTGATAATCCAATATCCTCTACAACTATTAGTGACTGTGTTGGCAGGTGTGTATATGAGGCTCCCTCCTTCCTGTGGCTGCTGGTAGCCACTTCAGATGACACTGCCATAGTGGAGCCCTGACCTGCTGTGGACATGGAGGGGCCCCTGCATAGGACAGGTGTAACTCACACTTGCACCCATCCACTAACCACAATGAGCTTTAGTGTCTTTGGGAATTGCCAGCATTGTCTCACACTGCTACTTTGTCTGCACTAAGAGCTGCAAGTACTGAGCTTTTTGGAAAGTTCATTCCTTGACTCTGCATTTCCCAGCCCTACAGAACTTGTGGGTTTTTTGGTTTGTGTGTTTTTTTAACTCCTCCTCCCAAGTTGCAACATCCTGCAAAGGATTTTTCTTTTGAAGCCCTGCTTGTCTCCGAGAAGTGACTGTGCAAAAGTGGCTCCTGCTCCCTGCCTGTTCCCATGTGTCCCTGGAGCCAGATCTGCTGACTTCAGCCACAAAATCAAGTTGTCACAGCCTCTTCCTCCCATTAACCCTGCCAGTCTGCCCCAGGAGGAGAGAACAAGATTTTCTCTTCTGTGCATCAGCAGAATTATTCACCAGCTTGGTTTTATGCTCACAACTGGGAGGGGGGGCGTGTGGGAGCAGGGAGAAAGCTGTCTTGGCTCATGGTGTCCGTGGGGAGTCTGCATGGTGAGATGTTAAAAGTATTCAGTTTTTCCTGTGTGTGATCATGGAGGCAATGCTTCTCTGACAGTGGGAAGAGGCAGACTGCTGGGGTTTCACAGCCAAGTGCTGTTAAAGCCTTTACACCAGCAAATTATCTTTACCCAAGGCTTCCTGCTCCTCCAAGGGGACAGCACTGTTTGCAGAAGCCCGGACCTGATGCACACAGATGCCTTGAAAAACCCACTGTGGCCAAACTCAGGACTGTCACCTTTCTGCTGGCCTGCACACCACACAATGGGTGTCCCCAACCCTGCAGTGCAGTCCCAGACATAGAGTGCAACAACTGCTGTTCTCACATCTTGTTGCACTTGGCTGACCTGGGGTGAAAGCACCAAACCACCTCTGGGAGCTTTGAGGATACTGAATGCTGAGCACACATAGGGTGTCTGTAACAGCTGTCTCCTCCCAGGTCCAGCCATCATTCTAGTTTGGGCAAGGGGAAGATGACACACAGCAGAGTGGTAAGCTCAAGACAATAAGGGTTATTGATCAGCTTTGAGCCTGGAAGCCAAGAAAATCAGAATCTATCTCCAGTACCAACCCCTCGTGCTGATTTGGCTTCGCCCTCTGCCTGGCATTTATCATGCCAGGCAAGCAGCTCCTTCAAAGCCGTGAGTCCTACAGATGAGTCAGTGCCTGCTTTGAGTGCAGACACATTGGTGGAAGAGTTCTGTGACACAGTGTAGCACCCAAATTATTATCAGCTCTGCTCAGGATGGGGCATCATCTCCTTTTCTAATATATTTTCCAGCTTGAGATTCTCTGGGCAATGTGTAGTAATAAATTCAAAGCACGCATAAAGGAAAGTGTGACAAAAGCCTTTCAAGCTTTTCCAAGGAGATGCACCTGATAAGGTGCCTTCCCAACTCACATTTAATGTTATTTAGGACTATAAAACGAAGGCCAAGGATGCTTCAAAGATAGGTACAGCTCTCCAAGAACAGATCTGGTAATTTGTTTTGCAATGCAGACAAATAAGATGAAACTATCCAGAACAGTGCTCTGGCCTCTCTCCCCCTTGACAGGTCCTGTATCCTATCACCCCTCCTTGGGCTACATTTGCCAGCCCCTCTGTGGAGATGGAGGCAACTGTGCCTAAAATGCTGTGGCCCCATCATGCTACTAGTTTGTTACTCATCCAGGAGAACTATCACTGCTTTCCAAAAGACAAGGTTTTTGATGGGGGAGGAAGCTCCCATCCTGATCCCTGGTTCAGTATCCAGAGGTTGAGGCAAGGATTTAAGGAAGTGCCTTTGCCAAAGGACCTCAAGTTTGAGATTCTCACATGGCATCTTATCACACCACACTCAGGAGCACCAGGTAGGAATATCTTATCCCCTTCCCCTCTCTGGGGCAGATGAAAGAGTTAGGTAAGAACTGGGAAACACGCTCTGCCCTCGTCAGCACTCAGAGGTGCTTCTATCTCATGTTTCTCAGGGCAGCGGAGCACCAAGGCTGTCAGGAACCAAACGCATCTGCAGCATCCCACGGTCCTCATGGAAACCTGACTCTAGCACTTTGTCTGGTCATTAGAAGAACTTTGCTCCAAACTTTGCTTCCCTGGGCTGATATGGTAGAATCTGCAACCAAAGCCTTTGCCTACCTGCACAGAGAGCTAGACAGGCACAGCAGGAGGAATGCAAGAAACAGCTCCTGCCCTCTACAAAGCCTCAATGCAGATCCTCCATCATAACATCACATCTCAATTGCTATGCAGGGCTCTAGATTATAATTTAAGTCTCACATGCAGCCTCAAAACAGCCCTGTTTGTGGAAAACAAATCCAAACAATGGCGTATTTTCTTCCTTTTTGAAGACTGGGCAAAGAATGTTTCAAGAGGAGAGCTGCTGCCCACACTATTTTTTAAAATTCTGTCTTCTTGCTTCATCATGGCCTTGTATATTTCTTTTCTCCTGCCTTTAAATCCAGGCAAGTCACTTGCACAACAGACTCCCTTTTAAGAGTCATTGATTTAGGAGAAAACTGACTGAAAGCCCTTCATTTTTTCCCATCTCAAGTATTGAGATCAGGATTGAAGCCCCATAATTTAAGCAGCTGCAGCTGATGCACTCTGCAAGATGGCAAGTAAGTAAATCTCAAATCCAGGGAGCTTTGGAGAGGTGGGGGATGTCAGAAAGCCCTGCTTAAATAAAAACTATGATAACACTTTCATGAGGAAGAATATTGGTGAAATGACAAGGAGACTTTGAAAGAGCCATAGCATGTGGCAGACAGAGCCAGGAGGAGAGGGGAGAAGATTTCCTGCCATGGAAAGGTGTGGAAATTTCAGCCATTGACAAATACTCAATTGAGGTAGGTCAGAGAAGATACACTGGGGAAAGCAGAGATCTCTGATGTTTCTTTTTTTCAAACAAATGAGTTTCAAGTGTGAACTCTTTGTATTGTCTCATTTTGGGAATATTTTCCTGAAGATGATAACTTTCAGACCCAGGCCAGTGGCATCCCTGATAAACCACTCAATAGATGTTCTGAAATCAGGCTCAGAAGCTTCACCCTGCTCAGCAAATACTCAACCTTTGCACAAGATTGAGTGGCCAAGGCCACAAAAGGCTTGTCCAAGCCTTGACTGTGAAGATGATTCAGCTCTGCTCCTGTCTGAGAGGCAGCAAACACCCCCCTGCTTGTGGAGGGGTCAGCAAGCACATCTCTGTGCCTCCTGAGGGTGCAGGGACAGTCAGCACTTGGGATTGTTCTAAGGATTGAGACAGCTCATGCAGGCAAGTTTCTTCTGGGGAGGAACTAAAGGCTTGTTTATAATGTGAAAAATCCATAGAAAAACCCCATGCATCCCTTGCATGCATCTATCTGTCTCCACAGATATATCCATGCAGGGAGGGTTACTGACCAGTGTTATGGCTCCTTACAAGGAGCCATCCTGCAGATATGGAGAAGTGTTTTATCTTTGCCTTGTTGCTTTCTCCTACCAAGCAGGGTGAGTGAAGCCATGAAAAGATGTCTCAGTCTGGCAGGCCAGATGATGCTCCATGCAGGCCATACAGCTCCATGATTTCTCACGGTGTCCCACCTTAGGACTAGTCCCAGTCGCCATGTTCCAACAGCACCAGGCTAGTAGGGCCCACCACACCCATGGGTCCTCAAGCCTGCCAACTTGGGAATGTTCCTGTCAGGATTTGTGGGAGACCTGCAAGGTTGCCCTTGTCTACCTGCTGGCTCTGTAGCAGACGTGGCCCTCCCAG